ACAATGCAGAATCCGTTCACATTACGCTCGGAGGACCAGCTGTTGTGCTGGCAACAAGATTTGATACATGAGTGGAAAGTGTCCTCTTCTCCACAGAAGACTTTTAAAGACCATGAAGCTGTGAATTTGGAACTAATCTGCTCTGAATATCGCTGCCATGCCTGTATGTGTGTGTGTGTGTGTGTGTGTGTGTGTGTGTGTGTGTGTGTGTGTGTAAGTAAGTAAGAAAGAAAGGAATGGAAAAGACACAAGATGACTTTCCCATCCTACAGGTCTGCAGTCTGAGGGGTTTGAAATGGATTTGTCAGGCGTACGTCTCATCTTTCACTCATTTCTCACCATCCTCGCCTGAAGCTGCACAACACTCACCTTGAAGACTCATCTCTGTAACTCATCAGCAGTCTGACGCTGTGGCGCTTGATTACTGACAGAGAACCTATATATATATATATATATAAATCTACATGCTGTCTATTCTAATATAAATCCATGTATGTTTGTTTCTTTGTGAGATCCAGGAAGTATTCTAGATAAGCATTTATTGTTTTGCAGCTAAGGAAACTTTGTCTGCCTCTCAAAACATTTATATCTAGTTAACGTCCATTTAAACTTCATGAATAAGTAAAACTACCCTTAACTTTGGCAAAATAATATTGTATTATATCTTTCTAGAGCTTTAAACCAGAGTTGCAGCTAACAATTATTTAAATTATTTATTCATTTGTCAATTATTTGCTTCAGTTTATCATTTATTTTATAAAAACAATATAAAATGCCTATCACAAATAGTTTTTGTACGATTAATAGTCCAAAACAAATTCTCACATTGGAACCAGCAAATGTTTGTTTGACAGTTTACTGAAAAGATAACTTTATAAAAATCCTTGGAAGAAGCCTTTGTACAGCAGCCTGATAATGTAAACTAGCTGGTGAACATAGTGGAGACAGACATTTCCCTCAGGAGGAGGTGGAGACCAAAAACGGAGCTAGAAGGAAATTTTATATTGGACTTAAATTCATCATGGGAACAGAAACATGCCAGATATACGATAATGTGGCTCTAATGTAACATGGCTTGTAAAAAAAAAATTTTGATTCTGGTTATAAAATACATGAAAATATAAAATAATGATCATTTCTTTGGCGAGGGACCATGTTATAAAACTAATGGCCTCCATGTCATCCATTAATTCCTGATAACGGACACCTCGTTGGGCATTATCTCTTTCATATAATAAAATATTATCAGTTCTCTGTATCAGAAAGTACCCGGACGTAAGTACTTGTATTTGTTCTAAATAGAACAGCCGTTATTCTCTGTTCAGTTACCTGACAGTGACCTCTGAGGTTTGTTTGATTGCTTATGCAGAGATATCCACGCTAACAGAGCACTGGTTTTACAGACATCAATTAGTGCAGAGTGATTTCTAACGCTGATCGATTGTTCCTTTAGGCGGTGAAACCAGAGGAAACAAAGCGAGACACACGGTGGAAAATCTATTCAGATGTGTTCTGGCAACAAGATATGATTATGAGTGTATGTGTCTTCACTCTAATAGCACACAGTTGTCCTGAACTGTGAGAACCCACAGACCCCAAACAGTCTGTGGTTAAGAGCTGTAATTCTGCACCTTAAACTAGCAAAACCTCACCGCGGTTCCTCTGACAAATTTCAGAAAATTTGGAAAGCGTTCCTGGATTACATTAACACTAAGCTCTGTCCCACTGCTCCATCTGTAACTTTTAAATTATCCTTACAAGATTATCTGACAGAAATGTGGTATTCACATATATTTCTGTCTCTGTTGGGAAAACTGTGTGTTTCCCAAGCGTCAACATTTCAGAAACTATGTTAAAAAGACCCGACCACCGCAGTGCTCATCGAGTGGATTCAGAAACACAAAGTGTGGCTGTCCTCCTCCTCTTCTCCTTCATCATCTTCTTGTGGTTTGTCCTGTTATACCCACACTTGCAGTATTTGAGTCAAGTGCTTACTTGTATTTCAGGTAACTGTCACAGTAGAACTGCAAGCATGTGGAGGTTAATCATGTTCGGTTAATTAGGGCAGTGGATCCTAACATCAGGAAAACTGATCATCTCTGATCAATATTCACAGGAAAAGATCAGCTCAAAATTCCTAAAAATTGCTCGTTTTACACAAACTTCCTGCAGTTATTAAAAGTTGTTCTGTTCAGTTATTGTTATTAAACAGGTGAGTTATATAAAATTCACCCTCTGTACAGTTGTTATTGACGGATAGATTAACTATAGAGACCAAAACTGTGTTTTCAACAAGGCTGTAAACATTATTTCTGCTGCAAAGTTGGACATTTTAATATTTGACCTTATAGAGATTGACTCACTGCTGGTGTCAACCTCTAGTGGCCGTAAGAGGAAGCGTCTCTGTTTGCTTTATTTGCCATCCCCAGAGTTTGCCACTTGGTAAAGGTGCTCAAGACCCTAAATTTGAGTATTAGAACCAACTTTTATACACAACTTCACATCTTCGGATTGACAAAGACGACCAGAGTCACTACAACCAGAAGTTGAAAGTGGACCTGTTCCTCTTTTTTATGCTTTGAACTACAGATGTAATGATGATAACCCACCATTTCTGTTTTAACTCTTCTTCTCCAAAATGTATTATTATCAGTTTTTGCTGCTGATCACATAAATTTGTGATTTCTCTAATCATGAGAACCAAACTGCACAAACCAAGTTTGCATATCGATAACTGTTCTGGGCTTTCCTCCATGTTGATTTCCAATCCTGTCCAGTACAGATCCGGCATTGGGTCAACAAAAACATAGTCCTTCTCCATCTCCATGGCATTTTCCATCTTCTCCTTCTCTACTTTTTTCTTTGTCTCCCTCTTCCTCCATCATCTCCTTGGTATTGCTCTTCACTTCCTCTTCCTATTCAAGGAGAAACTCAGTACAATCAGGTTTTGGTTGAAACAGCACAACCTCTGACAGATCATTGTTTAGGAATCAAGCACCGTGTACAGCGGAGACATTTCAGCTTATTTAGTTTTTCAGGTCATTAGGAATAAACCTAACACACATAATGAGCAGGAATTCAGATGGTTTGTTTGCAGCAGTGTGGCTTCGCTGCACTTTTATTGCTCTGAGGTCATGCAGACGTTTCTTGGTCACACACACACACAGATAAACACACTCATAGATTCGTGGAGCATTCAGAGAGTTTGTAATCTCGGGCTGTTAGGGGCATCAGCGTGTCGGAGAGCATGTGTGAAGGGAATTATCTGCTTCCTCTCGTTTGCCAAGTTATCCCTTTTTTTCTCCATCTGAGGTTTTTTGCGCACATTGGTCCCTGCTGTCCCGCGGAGAGGATGTCGTCATGGCGTAACGCTGAAGATCTGGTTTCAAAATATCTCCCGGGCTATCGAGCCGTTGCCACGCAACACGCTCTCAACATAACATGAAGCCGAGGAGCTTTTTCTCATTAGGCACGGTCGAGAACAGAGAAAGAGCAAAAGAAGTGGCCTTTATGCCACAGCCAAAAACAAGACAAGAAAGGTTCGTTGGTAATATGTTAACTGTCAGCAAATGTGATGTTTCAGCTAAATAAACACGTGTGTAATTCACATCATGTTGTCCCTGAACTACACAAACTCTTAAAGGGAAACATGTTGTTCCTCTTTTTTTATTTTTAGCTTCTTTCAGACTTGTGTTCAAAAGATCAAGAGAACAAACTGCTCAAAACAAAGTACTCAGATCCTTTACTTAAGTAAAAGTATCGGTTTCTGAACATAAAATGACATTATTACATTGTTAACTCTGATGCATGTTTTAAAACTACTGGTTCTAAACCTTGGGGCCGAGACTCCTTTATAGGGTTGCAAGATAAATCTGCATGGTTGTGTGATGATTAATGTGGTAAGAAAGAATAAAAAACTAACTTCCGGACTGAATCCTAATGATAATAAACTATATTAATAAACCACTTCTGATGAGTTTTGAAAGTGCTTTGCAGACATAAGATTTCTGGGTTGGAAATATCTTCTTCTGTCTTTTCAATTGTTAGTTCTTCCAAATGAAGTGAGCATTTATTGAGAATGAACTCTGTGTGTGCTACCTTTTTTATCTTTTCAACATTGAAACTAACAGTAGTTGTCAGATAAATGAGTTAAAAGTATTACCCTGTGGAGTAAGTTCTTTGCTATTCCAACATTGTTTTATGGACCCCAGTATGAGGAAATATTCAAATACACTAAAATAACAAATTTCTGCAAATAACTGCATGTTTCCTGCATAAAGTGGTGCTCATAGATTCCAATTTCATTCAGATCAGAGGTCAGAAGATCCCTTTGAAAATAGCCATGACAGTTTTTCCTTCATCACAACTTTGGAACGTTATTTAGCCCCATTACCAACATGTCAATGGTTGCGTTAGGTCATCTATTTTCATATGAAATTGGTATTTTCACTCTAGCTTGAAACCAGCTACAGCCTCTGAACCCCCCCAGAAACACCCACCCCTGTGTAAGTTCAGAGCACAAGTGCCTCAAAATTGTTCTTAGTTACTTTCCATCAATGAGAATCCATACGTCATATCTTTCTTTAAAAAAAAAAAAAACTCTGGTAAAGCTCTCTCTCCTGTAAGTATTGGACGAACAGCAACACGCAGAGGCCAACTTCAACATCAGTCAAAATGAAGACAGAATTTCCACAATATGTCGTCAATACAGCACCAAGAACCTCGCAGTCAGCCAACTCTGAAACTGCTTTTGAAGTCATAAAAATATTTAGGCCTTGATTTAACAAAACAATACATTCAGCGAGAATAGACAAGCAGAATTAGTGCAGGCGACTGGCTCAACATCTGCTCTGCATTAAAGTGCTGGCGTGCTCCAGGCTGACAGTAGTGATTGATAGTGAATGATACTCGATTTGGGGACTTTGCCGTAGCCAAGGGATCAGTGAATCAACACCCAGAACAAATCTCTCACTCTCTTTCTTTCTCTTTCCCCTCCCCAGTCTCTCGTTCCCAGGTTTCTTCACAGCGCCAGGAGGTGCTCATGGAGAACGTGACCCGGATGTCGGAGCGCTCTCGGCTGCTCCAGCAGACCCTCGGTGAGTCGTCCGCTCAGGCCGACCTGCTGGAGAACATCTGGAAACTGGAGAACCTCTTCCAGAACCACAGCGACTGGCTGCAGAGGCTGGAGATCCTCATCAAGGTACCACACAAGAAAGAGGACACTTTTACATACCTGGGATCTGTTACAGGTCATGAAAAGAGGTTAATGATGCATTCAGGGACATTAAAGGATCAAAATTCTCCAATTTGTCTCCAAACAATAGTCATGTGCCCGGACGAATATTGAAGGTTTTACTTCCTGTAATTACTCTTCCTGTTTCCAAACAGAGGTGGCAAAAGTACACAGAGTCTCCAGATACTTGTGTTAAGTACTGATTCAACTTTGTTACTCAAGTAAAAATAAAAAAAGTACCGGCTCTGAAATGTCTCTGAAGGACGTTTCCTCTGACTGTTTCTGTGCAGTCTTCTTGTCTGTTTCATCCCGTTACGTCTGCCATGTGTGATATGCATCAGTCTTGATATTAGGAAGGTGTGCATGATGCAAACAACAACAGCAAAATCAATATAATTACCCTCAAGTGCATTAAAACTAAACTAAATAGCCTTTTTTTTGAAAATGTAAGGAGTAGAAAGTACAGATATTTATGTGAAATGTAGGCAGTAAAAGTAAAAAGGTGTTAAAAATGAAATACTCAAGTACAAATACCTGAAACAACTACTTAAGTACAATAACAATGTACTTTGTTACTTCCCACCTCTGTTGCCGAATGACGTCACATTGCAGCAATTTACCTTCACCGCTACGTCTCTAAATCCTACACACTGGACCTTTAATGTGGCAGTAATATTAAGAATGACTGAATTTTGCTGATAATACTTTCATACTTTTACTTCAACCTATTACGAGGAGTTTTTAACTGGTTATGAGTCTTAGTTTAATACTGATGCCTTTATATAAGCTACATAAACCAACAAAACCATCAGAGAGAAGAAGTTTCTGTATAGTTGTTCTTAATGTCTGCCACTGAACACACCTTCCAACTGACTGTGATATGAATCAAGACGTTGCTCTTTCACCCACAGGGGCTGGAGGTGGAGCTGAGGAGCATCCAGGCTCACTCCCTTCAGTCGGAGGGTTACCTGGTGCAGCTGGACGACAGGTTGTCCTCTCTAAGCAGCTCCGCCGGCAGGAACGTAACGGGTTTGACCGCGGAGGTGTCCCGAGCCTCCATCTGGCTCCGCGAGCAGGATGTCCTGCTCAGGTACACATTTATATCACACTGATATATATTACAGTATATATAATGGAGAGAGCTTCCGGGTCAGCGAAGTACCTTAAACCTGCATTCTTTTTAATGGCCAGCAGGGGGCAGCTCCATTGGTTGCACAAAATAACTCTGGTAGTAGTGAGTCTTATGGAGAAATGAGCCGACTTCTCAGTTGATTGATGAGCTCAGTAAACAGTTTCCTGATGAGTTTATGGTCTCAGTCTCTAGTTTCAGTCTTCTTCCATACAGCATGATGTTCATTTAATAAATGATGGTCCCATTTAGAGTAAAATGTCAGAAATTTAACATCAAAGTAAGAACCAAAACTTGTGTATTGATAGTTTATGTGTCAAATTTGATTTCCTTTCATGTTCTTGACCTTGAACAAAGTTATTAAATCATTTTACATAGGTGGTCCCGTTTAACCTTGCGAAGCAGCTGGACTCACAAAATCATGAGAGAATCCATCTTGCCAGGCAGTAGTTACAGACCAATGGGCGTCCTGTGAGGAATTACTGGCATCTACAGATTTGGTTTAACGCTAGGTGTGCGTGAGAAGTGACTAGGTGCTGCTAGCATCAGTTATATCAGAACTGGAGAGTATTTCTTTATTGAAAGAAGAGCAAAGAACGACACTGAGGAAAAGATGTTTTCACTCTTCTCCCGACTGGGTTCGATAAGACTTTGACTACGTTATATAGCAGTCAAAGTTTGCCGGTGACTGTAGAGATGGTTCATCCAATCAGCTTCCAATTTTTTTTTTAAAGTGCCTGCCAACAACAACTTCCCAGATGGTTCTGTGCAACAAATCATCTGGCACTGTCAGGTGTAACTGCATCACAATAAAGACTAATGAATTAATTAGATCTTCTGTTTGTGTTTTCTTTCAGGGAAACCTCAGGACAGATGAGCCGGCTGAGAGAGAAAGTGGACGAGATTAACTGGACGGTTGGAGCTGTCAATCACACCTTCAGCAATGACATCAGTATTCACCACCTGAAGATACAAGACTTGCAGGTTCGACACATTAAATCTACCACTGCAAACTGTCTTTAAGATACTGGGGGGATTTATCTTTCATTATATTCCTTAACCCTCCCTCCTCCTGTCTCCTGCTCAGATCCAGATCAGCAACATAACGGAGGACACCAGCACTTTATGGGTGACCCACATCCACACTGAGGCTCAGCTGAGGAACGAGATGGAGATCCTCAACACAATCACAGAGGACCTCCGCCTGAAGGACTGGGAACACTCAACTGCCCTGAAGAACTTCACCGTAATAGAAGGTCAGTTAATAAAAATGCATGTCTGAGTGCAAACAAGCACCTTTTTTTATACTTTTATTTAACGAGGATTTGGGCGTTCTCGAAGGGGAACAAGTCGTTGCTTCATTCTGGCCCAAGTGTGACACCAGAGAGGCTCTTGAGAAATACAAGTGCCTCTCTTGTCGGCCCAGAGGCTCCTTCTAACTGCCCCTCAAGGCTGCTCGTCTGCAGTAAGCATTGATTTGGTGATTTGTGGGTCAAGATGTGTAGGTTAGAACATGGATGAATTGGGTTACATATAATCCGTGTTCTACTAAAGTAATTTTAACAGATTATGTTTCCATTTCAATAGAGCCCGACCAATATTGGCTTTTTGAGACTGACATTGATTTTAGAGGGGAAGAACTCACCAGTTACCAGTGTATATAATTGGCAGATTCGTTCTCAGAAGGCTGCTTTCTTAAACATTTAACGTTAAAGAATATTTGTCCTTTAGCATGTTAAATAGTTTAACATGTAGTCTACATTATCAACCAATTGAGAACTGAGAAAATAAAGAATACAGGATGCGGATGACATATACGATATACTGATACAATACCGATATACTGGTTAGGGCTCAGCTGTCAATCATGACGTAAAAACTTTTTTTATATCATCAAATAACTAATTACAACCAAACTTATCAGAAAAATTAACACTTGACAAACATCAGCGTGACAAGATGACCTTAAATGACAGAAACCGTCTTTGGGAAACATTTATTTATCGTGTACTTTGTTAGTTTGTCCCATCTGTTAACATGGAGGCTTTATGAGCTATACTGCACTCAGCCACCAGGGGGAGGTAAGGATGTTTTGGCTTCACTTTTGGAGAGCTGTCACGCCGTCCATCTTTTATATGTCGGTGCTGCTAACCAAGACAGTAAGTGTAGCTTATGTGTAGGAACAATAGTCGTTGCTACCCTCTGGTGGTCGGGAGTTTTAATAACTGGGTTAAAATAACTGTATGCATTAATAAGATAACTGACGCAGATATTTAACAGTGACGTGAAAGTTACTTTTCCAAGTAAGTAAATACTTTCAACAGTACAATGGTTGTAGTTAATTTAGACTCTATCTAGACATGTTGTCAGCAGGATATGATCAAAACCTGAAGATGTTTTTCCCGGTTCAATCACGCCGAGCCAAGGACATGTGTTTCCACTGAGTCCTCGCAGCAGGTGATAGCCGTGTGCCGCATTGTTGTGGTCCTGCTTGGTAGCAAGGCCAACGCAACCAACCTGTGAGGGCAGTCCCTCTCTAAACCAAAACCATGTCCTGTGACTTCACATCTGTGTGTGAGCTGGTGACTAAAGAGGACGTTTTTTTAAAAAAGCTTCTCAGTACTTTTGTAACTGGAAACTAAATCTCTGTGGTTTGGAGTTTGGTTTCACTCTTGCATACCTGTCAGTGCTTTCAAATATTTACTGTTTAATGATTCAACATGCTTCAGCCACACTGGAGCTGTTTTAAGTTACTGCTGATGCAAACTGAATGTCTGCCGCCGCTGCTTCACATTAAAAACTTCCCAACAGCAACATATCTGTTGATCTGCACAAGATATGGATGTACACTGTGTCATTTGGTCCACGGATCAGGTTTAAATATTGCAGAAAAGAAGAGAGACGAGTGCAGTGAGCTGTAATGTGAAGAGCTGCAGGCAACAGGTGACTACTGTTTGTGTGATAAACACCAGGCGAATAGCTGGGGTTGCTATCAGAAAACAGCATAAGTTACAGATAGATAGAGTCTTTGTTGCCACAGTCAATACGTAGCCTCACATGAATACATAGAAACACATCATAACCACCAGAATTTACACATTTATACACATATAATTGACATAACATTTACACATGACGGCAACCGTTGATGGGTTGAGGGTCGTGTGCGATGGTTGTTGAGGTCTGAGAGGTGGTAGGGAGAACAGTAATTATGGAGACGCTGTGTGTGATGTGTATAAGTTTGTTCCTATTGGAAGAAGTTAATATGTTAAAGAAACGGGGGGAACAGTCGAGGATAATGAGTTGGATTATGCTTTTATAAAGCAGCAGCTTCTGAATGTCAGTGGCTCAGTTTTTATTGTCCAGAGTGATTCAGTGTCAGTCATTATTGATGCAGGCAGGGTTGTATAGGCTGTACTGTGGGTGCTGAAAGTGAAGATTACTGGGTATGATTGGCTCAAATGCCCCTCAGGTTGGCTCAACCTGAAGCCTGATCCAAATCCTGGGCAGGGACGAGCCCATGATTCATTTTCACATCTCACCATTAAACATGGCACTCCTGATCCACATATAAGGTAGTTTGGCAACATAAAACAATAGATTAGTTACTAAATTGCAATTTTATTTCGGTAAATGTGTGACAAACAGCTTTATAATGAAGTAACTGTAAACTGTAGTGCTGCAGAGACGCTCTGGACTACAAATCTTGTTCTCCAGATTTAAGAAAACATGCTTGTTTGGTACAAACCCCAAAAGGTTTTTCAGTTTTTCCAAGAAAGTTTCGATGAAAATTGAATTTGTGATGTAAAAATGATCCCCCTGTCAAAATAAATACAGTATGATGTTTTTACCATTTCATGCAGCCCTACAATGACTCAGTGCTGGCAGTAACTCATTACTAGTAATACTATTGCAGTGATAATATTACTTTCCCCAGTAACTAGTAGTGTAACTCATTACTAATAAAATTCCAGTAATAATATTACAATTACCCCCCAAAAAAATAATGAGTTACAACCTTACTTTTGTTGGCACCCCATACCAATCACAACCTTGGATTTATTTTTGTAATTGTGGAGGAAACTAGTTTGGAAATATTCACATTACTTTGACTTAAACCATCGTAAGTCTAAATTTTGGGGAAAAGGGACGCAGTTACCAATTTGAAATGTAACTAGTTGTGTAAGTAATTACTGCTGGCAGGGAGTAATAAGTAAAGACATTTTTGAGTAAGTAGCCCAACACTGCTGCTACACTGAATATATATCAAAATCATTTGAGAGTAACTGAAAAGTTTATTTCATTGAACGTCAGTTATGAAAAGAGCTTCAACAAAACTTTACTGCTTCACAGAAATTAGCTCATTGTGGCAAAAAAGAGGAAGTAAATACATAAAAAAAAACATGAAAACAGTAGATAAAGGAGGGACTTTATGAAGAATAGTCCACAGTAGAAAAACACACGACAAAGACAATCAATTTCCTGGAAGTAAAACGTGAAATTAACAAAACAAGACATTGTCGTCTGATGGGAATATGAAGATCTATGTGCGACTAACAGAGCAGGAATACATGAAAAACACGTGAACGCAGCTGGAGAACGTGAGAACTTTAACTCTTAGTGTAATGAATCCCTTTGGGTGGAACTTTCTGCTCCAAAAAGATCATTTACAAAAGTTCTGAGCCAGCGCATGTTTCTGGTGAAGTGACCCTAGCATGCAAATGTGATTTTACACCGTGGGATTACTACCCCGGGGGATTGAGCAACTCCGAATGTTCTTCCTCCAATCGGCTCAGATCTGATTAGTCCCGACGTGGTACGACTCTCGCTGCCAGGGCACAAAATGACTTCCCTGGCTCGTTAAAATCAGAATAGGTATGCTATGATGTAATGCTGGCGGGCTGATTGATGGCAACTCAAACTGAACGGGACCCCTGATCTCGTGTCTGCTTCACATGTGGGTGGGATGCCGTTTCTCCCGAGCCTGGAAACAATTGTGGGTTAAATTTAGACGCTACATCCAGAATGAAAACTCAGCCACTCGGCTCTGTCATTAGTTTTAGCTCCGCAGCCCATTTGTTTGCTGTTAGCTCGCAGTCACCTTAGCCAAGAAAAGTTTTACATCTCTATCCATGTTTATCCTCTTCTCTTCTGTTCCCTTCTCGTTCCTCCTTTTTCTTTCTCTCCCTCCTCTCTTTCTCTTCTTCTTCGGTTCATTTTGCCTTTAATTTCTCTGTGACTCACACAGCGATGTTCATGCCACACATGTTACTTGTTGTATTAATGATAATGACACATGAGAAGCTGTTTAAAATGGATGGGTTTTTGATGGGAGGCAAAACTCTTACCTCTCCAGGTGGTAAAACACAGTATTATTTACAGTAACATGTTCCCATTAAGAGAACATGTATCAGATTCATTTGATTACAACTTAAATACTGTTTATGTATGAGATTTCAGTGATTAGACATTTGGATATTCAAAGGTCAGTGCCAACATTTTGAGGATTTATGTTGTCAATAATGAAATAAAACATATTTGGTGCTTTATCCAGAATATATTTGTTGTTATAGAGTTATAGAGTTTTTGACCTCTAGTAGTGCTATGCAGCTGTTTTTTTAGCAGTAGGTCCCCATTTTGTTTGTGTTGTGCATGAGGATGCACATACAACAGTCCAACAGTTTCAATAATGATCTATAGGCAACAGTAATAAGACAAGAAACACTTCAAGCTAGTAAACATGGACGTAAACAATGCTGCAGTAGGTGACTTGAACATACACAAAGTAAAACCTTCCTCTCCCACCACAGCCACAGCAGACTATGTGGATGTAGTCTCTCTGTGCCGCATCCACAGGTTTCTGAAGAGCCGTTGTGAAGCTCAGTGTGGTCGTCTCTGGCCGTCACCAAAGACGTAGAGCTGAATGAAGCCTGCAGTGTGAGAGGAACTGCAGTGTGTTTTGTTGTTGGCAAAGGAGAAATAGGAAGTTTATTAAATTGCTGCTCTTTACAAAGCTTCTACTGAAGCAAGAGCAGGAGGCAGCGTGTGTACGAGCAGTGATTGACGTTAGAGACTCCTTGTGGTTCTGATTGGATGTTTTCTAGTAGGTACTCGTAAGGGTTCTCGTAAATGTTATTAAGAGGAGGAGCCATGTTTTTTCACAGATTAAAGGGCCGTCCATACCACGAACGCAAACTTTAACAATAACTATAAATATGTCTTTTTATAATAAATTGTCCACACGACAGTGCCATCA